GAACAGAAAAAAAAAAACAAAAACGGTGGGAGAAGAGAGCAGGGAAGGACAGAACCGTATTTGCGATGTTTAGCTATGCTGATATTTACGGTAGGTTTAGGATGGTAGCAAAAGACATTTCTACTGACTAAAAGTAACATCGGTGTTTCGTAGCAGGCCAATTTAAAGTCCAGATCAAATTTAGCTTTTTAATTTAAACTCAAGCTGCAAACAAGCAAAAACCTGCATCTCCTTCCAACAGACTTGAAACCTAAGCTCCAGGATTCGGGTCTTATTGAGAATCTTAATATTATCAGAAATGAAAGTTGGCCAGTAGGTTCCCATCATTGAAACAAATGATTAATATTCTTCAATCTGAGTTATTGTGGAGTTCATAGATGACTTCTGTTATGCAGAATAAATACTTGCTTTCTGTAATGTTTTTAACAGAAGGTGCTAGTTAAAGAAGTAAGTAGCAGAAAATTAGAAAATGTAAGTTATCAAACCAAAGACCATATCTGGATTGTTTGGTTGAATTCAAATATAACAAAAATCAATTTTATTTTCACTGTTACTGTATTAAACTAGCCTTGATGTTTTGTGTTTGAGTGCACTGACGATGATCAGTTTCTAGATTTAAAGTCTGTTTTATTTGTATTTTTTTTTTTATTCAGAATCCCACACAGTTATTGGTAGTTTAAAAAGACTCTGTGATGAAAATGCCTTTGAAAATTAAACCAGTCTTCTAGATCAGTGATTCCCAATTGGGGGTACTTGTACCCTTATTGGTCTGCGAGTGCATTGCAAGGTGTACATGAAAATATATTATAGTTATAATAACTGAACTTTATTCATCTCAAACTGGAGAAATTTACCTCTGTATTAAACCCATCCCCTTTGGGGAGCAGTGGGCTGTTATTGCAGGGTGCCCAGGGAGCAGTTTTGGGTTAAGGGTCTGAGAAGACTACTGGGGGTACTCATGGTAAGACAAAATCCCCAAAGGGCATGGTTAGGGCATAGAGCTTGGAATCCTTAGGTTCTGAGTTCAAGCCCAGCTCCCACAGACTGCCACTCTGGGTTCCTGAGCAAAGACCCTTAACCCCACACTGCTCCCCTGGTTAAATGCAGAGGTAAATTTCTCCAATATAAGATGAATAAAGTTCAATTATCAATTTTTATTATGAATAAATGTAAAAATCTTAGCAATTACATTCTCAGTTTTGAAAGAAATTATTATTTCTTCTGTTTGTTTTTTTATAGTCAAACTTAACAAATCCCAAAAATTCAAAATTGTAATGAATTTTTCATATATCTGCTGCAACATCTATCTTTCCAGTAGTCTCAAACACATCCATATTATTGTAGTGTACTTAGGTAAATAGCACCAACTCAGTGCATGCCTGCACTTAACACTTATCTAAAAGCAACACTGCTGCTTTCTGTGAATGCTATTAGGAATGCTGAAAGCATTTCTGTCCCTTTGGAGCTTATTACCCCCCTGTAGTGTTTAAAACCAGGCTTTATATGGCTCTACAATTCTTAAGAAAGTGCTGCAGGAATGTATTTCTAAAAGAATGAAATCTTTTCACAGTCAGAGTTTTAAAATGTTGTGCTTTGACATAATAGTTGATATTCCATTGATGCAGCCTGCTTTTTGAGCATTTCCGTTACTGCTTTTTTTCCTGGTCCAAAAACTGCATTTTAGGGCCCTGCTCTGGCTCAGAACTGAACAAAGCCAAACAGGGCAGCGAGGTGACGTGATCAGACTGTTGGTTATTGATTGGTAATGGGTGGGTTCGGCCAAACGATAACAGCAGCAAGATGGGAAGAAACGTTGGGCGAGGTAGTAAAGAGAATAACAAGCCACAGATTTTACAGTACACAGCAGTGCAGCTAAAAACACACACTCGAATGACTGGAAAACTAAGCCAGGACCACAATAGTGAAACAAAATAAAACTAAAATCAGTGTTTTAGTAAATGTTTATTTACCTGGCATGTTCAGGATCAAAAGTTATGTTTTATAGGCTCACAGCAAACCGTAAAGCAATTGTAACAACTTTAGGAAAGGGTTTACCCATTTACAAATCATAAACCATAGCTGAACAACTAAATGCAAGATTTGTAATATGTTTATAAAACAAGTTGGTAGACCTTGCTGTTAATAAGATTGTGGTATTCCACAGTGAGCTAGTTTATTAGTTATTAATATGCATCTAAGAACAAACAGTGACAAACTGATGTCAGGCTGACCTATAGAAGCCAAAGAGGTGAAATGTGAAAGAAAAAAATATATATTATTCAAATCAATTTAGTCTTAAGTTAGGTGCAAATCAACTTGCTTCATGCACAGAAGTGCTGCTCTGAAACCAATGCCTACAGTGGGGGTCCACTGGAGTTTCTCCCTTTGTCTTGAAAAAGACCTTGTTATCATCTTGCATAAACATAGCTTGACATTCTGGCATCATAAGTAACTTTGTTACACTAAGGAACAAAATGTAACTGCTTCATCCCTGACAAATTTTCTGAGAACATAACATTCTGGCCATTGAGGCTGGCCAATAAAGCCTCTCTCTTCACATAGTCCCATTTAGATAACTTTATCTTATAGCCGAGCTGCACTTAAAGCCAACAGTTTCTGCAAACAGCAGAACATCACCCTTTTTAAAAATAGAATATTCTACATTTTAAGACCTAAAACACACTGACAGTTAAAAAAAAAATAAGAATATACTATCTAAGTACACAAAATTTTACGTCTAGATAAAACTTGAAAGTCCTCCCATTGAGTTATAAAGTTTTGTGTATCTAAATGGGGATGTAAAAAAACCCAATGTCCTAAAGGTATCTAAAGTAGAGGTAAATAATAACAGCAATATGTACATAGGGGCAATGTATAAATATAACAGTAGATCCAAACATAGATGTTTGCAGATGGTCTGGTTCATAAAAAAAAAAACTTTTTTTAAAGTATGAATTCCAAACTAGAGGTACATATGCATTCAAGAAGCACTGTTCATAAAATATATAACTTTTGAGTTTAAAGTTAGCCAAGAATATCTATCTTGATTTGATTCGGACCATTTTAGCCTATTTGGCTCTACTCATTGACTGGCTGGTCAGACACTAAAAAAGGGAAATAAATGTATTTTCCCTAGTCTGTGATTACTGCGCCCTAAAAGCAACCACGTCAGGCAGAAAGCAACACTCCTTGTGTTCTGAAGTTGTGACTTTAAGAAGAAAACTCCAAGCTTGCTATTCTCAGCATCAATAAGATATTCAAATGCAAAGACATAGGGAGCACAGACATGTTAAAGCTATATTAGAAAGAACCATGAAAGGGCTCCTCTGCTTCATTGAGGTTGTGAAAAACCAGAGAGCCAAAGACCATCAGAGGATTACAAGAAGGCTAAATGAAGTAAAGCAAAGCTCTTCTCTGTACTATTGAGCTTTCAGCCTCTGCCTGGATTTAGAAAACATGATGAGAGAAGACTGCTTTGGCTTCACCCCTGCTCCACCTCCTGTTGTAAGAAAGCTCAGAGCCGCACCTTCTATACATGAGTGTAACCACAAAGCAAGTAGTTTGATTTGATTGAATTGATTTAATTAAATCAGCCAAAACCTGTTAATTTAAATGTAATACCTTCTTTAAATTAATGCTCAATAATTTTTGGGAGTAAAATGAGTAAACAGGGCTCATTTTGACCCCTTTTCACGCCCCCTTTTACTGTATTTATTGCTAGGGTTTACATGATATGGATATAGAATTAGTACTATATTAGGGTTGTCAAAAGTATCAAAACTCAAAAAAGTATCGATACTGAAA